AAAAAAAAAAAAAACCCACTACAGGAGGATAAAGAACAATTTATCCATTTGTGATCTTGGTCATAAACCTTAACTTTAGCAAGTGCTTTTTATATCATAAAGCTCAAGAAAAGCCTAAAATAACCAAAATGAACATGATGTAAAGGATTGAAAACATGGGAACAGTTTAAATGTCATTAATCTTATAAATTATTTATCCTTTCTGTATTTCAAGTTTTGTGCTGTAGAGTTCAGCCTCTTAACTATATGAAGATCTTTCATTCCAAGATTTCTCATCTGATTGTAACAAAAACCACAAAAAACTTCCTTTTTCACTTTCCCAACATGTTGGCCATTGTGATGTCCAAATATTGCCTCAAACAACATCCAGTGAATTCTGATTTGATATTTGCAAGAACCAGAGTATAGAAATGTGACTTCCCACTTTACCCTTAAAGGTGATGTGGCCTGAGAAGCTTTTTTGGTTTCTAAGTCAAGAAAGATCCTCTTTAACTTGTAACTCTTTGGAGGATGGGAATTTCACTAGATATAGTGTAGTGGACATCCTCATTTTACTTTATTCGCCTGGGGATTACTGAATTTGTTACCGTGAATAAATCTTATTTAATAAATTTTATAACTATGTAAAAAGTAAATAGATCAGTTGAATAATAATTTTTACCAAACCTGTAGTCAAAGTTTGAGTCTACTTGAAATATTTGCAATTAATAATTCTACTACTCTCTACCTTATTTTCTAGAAGTCTAAAAAAAACTACAAACTTACACAATAGCAATAGACCACAATGTTTCTTTTCCTCTGTAGGAAACCTCCTCCCCTTAATATATAATTTAGCCAGGCTAAAGTGGCTCGAGCCTATAATCTTAGCCACTTGAGGTAAAAATGGAATTACTGTGCTTTCTTGCCGATCCTCAGATCTCAGCCTCCTGAGTAGCTAGGATTACAGGCATGAACCACCTGTGCTGGGATTGATATATAAATTCTTAAGGTTCATCTCAATGGAAGCACAGTGGCTGGGCACAGTGGTGCATGCCAGTAACCCTCGGTGACATGGGGAGGCAGAAGGAGGAGTATCATAGCTGAGGTTGGCCTGGGCATACTATGAAAGCTTACCTTGAAAATAACTAATGCAAAAAGGGGCTAGAGGCATGGCTCAAGAGGTAGGGTACCTGCCCCTTCCAATGCCAATATCTATCTATCTATCTATCTACCTATTTATCTATCCTGATGTTAATGATTGAACAATTAAAAGAGTTGAATTCTGCCCAATCTGAACAGTACCCACAAGCAGTTAAAAAATTAAAAATTTAGTCATTATTATAGAAAATGCTTTTGGGAAGCACTGCTCTAGGGCACACTTTGCATCCACACCTAATTTAAAATAAAGAGAAAGCAAAGCCAGGTGCTGGTGACTTATACCTGTAATCCTAGCTTCTCAGGAGGCTAAGATCTGAGGATCATGGTTTAAAGTCAAACCAGGCAGGAAAAGTGCATAAGACTCTTATCTCCAATTAACCACCAAAAAGCCAGAAGTGGAGTTGTGGCTCAAGTGGTAGAGTACTAGCCTTGAGCAAAAGAAGCTCAGGGACAGTGACCAGGCCCTGAGTTCTAGCTCCAGGACTAGCATTAAAAAAAAAAGCAAGTGACTCCATTTGAAATTACCTTTTTGTCAGGGGGAGAGGAATCCTTGCCTCACATATTCTAGGCAAGTGTTCTACCTCTGAGCTACATCTCCAGCCCCTAAATTGGTTCTTTTTGATTAATGTTCTTAGTTGACCATAAGTCTATATAAGATTTATTCACTGCCAGTCTAAATCAGAAGGTTCATGTGAAGAGCCACATAAGTATTCATTAAAAACTAGAATCATGGACTCAAGAATTGTTTAGCTCTCCAAGGATCACCATTTGACATAGAGGGGACTCAACACTCTGGAGAATATTGTCAGTTGAATTAAATACCTAATATTATATATAGATTGACTAACTTGAATTTTTACTGTTGTTGTGAGTCCACAGTTTATTTCTGTAGGATACTTAATCTAACTGTATATCAGAGGTGCTGTATTTTCTTTCTCCTTCAGTTAATGTTCAGAATAATAAACATGATATGGGAAAATCATTTGACGGGTCTATTTATTTTAATGAGGCAAGGAAAATTTTTAGTCACTGTAAATTTAAGGACTCAATTTCTGCTTATTAAAACACAATACAAGGGATGGGAAGGTAGCTCACTGGTAGAGTGCTTCCCTTTCATGCATGAGGCCCTGGATTCGATTCCTCAGCACCACATAAGCAGAAAAGGCTGGAAGTGGCGCTGTGGTTCAAGTGGTAGAGCGTTAGCCTTGAGCTGAAGAGCTGAGGGATAGTGCCCAGGGATAGAGTTCAGGCCCCACGAATGACAAAAACAAACCAACAAAAACCCCAAAATATAGTCTATATTTGGAACCCAAGTTGGTTCCCTCTCCTAACTTTCCTTTAAATTTCAAACTGGTGTTAAGATTCAGCCCCTTGGTAGGGTGCTCTGTGATTCCATGTTGGCTTGGATAGACATTTTTTTTTTTTTCTGGTGTCAGAGCTTGAACCTCAAGCCTCATGCTTGCTTGCTCTGCTAGCACTCTACCACAAGCTTTTAGCCCTGGACATAGAAGCTTTGAAGTGTAGTTTCAAGGTGAAATTACAATAGGTGTACTGCTATTTTCCGTGCAACAGTAACCTAGTATTTCCATATGCCTAATGCCCAGATCTAAAAGTGCCGTTAACACTTTTCAAAAAAGACAACAAATCTAAATATGTAGAACAATGGTCTCTACTTGACCTCTCAAAGTATGAATTGAAGATGAGTCTATTAAATGATTAAACAGTCTCAGTTCTGTCTACTATAGAACAAGATAACACAGACGGATGATTTATCAACAATAGGAATTTATTTCTCAAAATTCTGGAGGTTGAGAAATTCAAGATCAAGGTGCTGAGAAATTCATTGATGAGGGTCCCCATTTGGGTTCTACAATGGATATCTTCTGTGTCCTCACACAGAACAACAACATGTCTCTTTGGGCCTAATTTTATAAGGCACTAATTCCACTCAAGGACTCTACCTCTAAATACCATCAACACATGAATTTGGTGGTGGTGGTAAGGGATATCCTAGCAAATATAATTATGTCAAAGAGGGAAATTTATACTTCCTTTACAATGAAAATGAGTCTTAAGGGACTGGGAATGTGGCTCAGTGGTACAGTGCTTGCCTAGCATGCATGAAGCCCTGGGTTCGATTCCTCAGTACCTCATAAACAGAAAAGGCTGGAAGTGGTGCTGTGATTTAAGTGGTAGAGCTCTAGCTTTGAGCAAAATAGCAGCTGAGGGTTAGTGCCCAGGCCCTCAGTTCAAGCCCCAAGACTGCCCCCCCAATCATTAATATTTATGCAGTGAAAATATATCCCTTGACAGTAGTCATCATTTGGGATTGGGCTAAGTATATGGCAGCATAATCCTCTGAAAGAATAATACTGATATAAAATGGAGTAGTATGTAGAAAAGACATTCTATTCATCCAGTCATGCCCGAAGTTTGCATATATTCCTGCATCCCTGCTCTTTCTACCTTCACCACTTTTAGTTTCTTCTCAATGAAACAGAGAGAAATTAAGAAACCCAAATGGTAGTAACAAACCCAATAAAGAAAGTTTCCAAGCTGGGCACTAGTGCTCATGCCTGTAATCTTAGCTATTCAGGAAGCAGGTATCTGAGGATCAAGATTCAAAGCCAACCTGGGCAAGAAAAATCCATGAGGCTCTTATCTCCAATTACCCAGCAGAAAACCAGAAATGGTGCTGTGGCTCAAAGTGGTTGTGCTAGCCTTGAGCAAAAGGAGCATAGGGAAGTGTCCAGGCTGAGTACAAGCCCCATGACCAACCCTTGCCCCCCACCAAAAAAAAGAACAAAAAGTTTTCAATGAAACCCTTAATTTAAGTAAGTCTGGCTAATTATTTATTTTTTATCGGTGAAGATGATTGAACTCTGGGCCTGGGCACTGTCCCTCTGCTCTTCAGCTCAAGGCTAGTGCTCTACCACTTGAGCCACAGCGCCATTTCCAGTTTCCTGGTGGTTTATTGGAGAGATTAGTCTCATGGGCTTTCCTGCCTGGGCTGGCTTTGAACCGTGATCCTCAGATTTCAGCCTCTTTAGTAGCTAGGATTATAATCGTGAGCCACCAGGGCCCAGCTTGATTATTATTACTTTGGCTGTACTGAGGACTGAATATGGAACGAAAGGTATTGCACTTTATCACTTAAGCCCATGCCCTAGCCCTAAAATGAAAACTTGAGTGCTTTAATCATTACCATAGTAGTAGTAAATATAGGTTTGTTGGCTTCTTTTTCCTTGAACCAAGTCTTGAAACTTCAAAGATGTGGTTTTCCAGAGCTTCAATGTATTTTATTTGTTGAGGAATGGATTTCACTGTTCTGTTTCATTTTCTGTTGGCTACTCTTCCAATATAAATTTAATCTTCATAAATAAAAAAAAGTCTTCATAGCAGCAAGTCTGTATCCATTACTGTGAAGTATATTTTCAAAGAACTCTGATGTTCCATCATGAATTATTTGGTCTCAAAGTAACTTCATTTGAAAATGTTTAATAAAGTTCATAGTTCTGTATTAAATATTAAAATTCAAGCCATTCTGTCATATAAATACAATTAGATGGTGAAATCTCACCACCTTCATGGCAGTCATCAAAAACCTTAAAAAACAAAAGTTTATATTCAAAATGAAGTTTTAAAATCTTTAAAATACTTTAAAAGTAGCATTTAAAATACTTTAAAAATAGTTTTAATTTAAAGCAGTATTTTTACAAAACTTTAAAAATAACTAGGGATTGTATTTAAGAACATGGTGTGATAATGCCTGGTTTGTGATTATGCAATTAGTTAATGGTGGGGCCTGATCATGTTCGCCTGCCCACCAAACAAAAGGCTATCAGCAGGTATCATAAGAATATATAATCTTACACATGGAAATGTTTCATATTTAGCTACCTTCATTCCTATGAAGGAAACTAAACAGAATTTCCTCTGTTAGCATTCTGTCTAGGACTTGAAACCAAGAAAAGAAAGACAGGTATAAGGAATATGGTGTACAACAAAATATGGCATACTAGCAGCTCAAGAACATAATGCCACAAGGATTGAAATCTCTTGCTCTTTGGCAGGCTCAGTGTCTTCAGCATATGGTTGGCACTCTTAAATAGGATTTTATTTATTTATTTATTTATTTATTTTGGGTGGTCCAGTCATGGGGCCTGCACTCTGGGCCTGGGCGCTGTCCCTCAGCTCTTCAGCTCAAGGCTAACGCTCTACCACTTGAGCCACAGCGCCACTTCTGGCTTTTTTATTTTTGCTTATGTGGTGCTGAGGAATTGAACCCAGCGCCTTATGCATACAAGGCAAGGGCTCTACCACTGAGTCACCTTCCCAGCCACTTAAATAGGATTTAATGGAACTGCTAAGGCATGCTGGGAAAAAGATTATCTGGGCTTAAATGAAGAGATGTTCTTAGGTTTTTCCCAAGCCTAAGTCCCACCATCCCCCTTTTTAACTGATTTCAATTGAACCTGAAGCCTGTACATGCTAAGCATGCACTTTACTACTAAGCTGTACCCCTCAAACATAAGTTCCCTTGTTCATTAGGGGAAATAACACCCTTAGTTCCAAGGACATATGGAGGTTCAAATGAGACAACATAAAACTCATTAAAAACATGCCTGGCCCATAGTAGGTTTTCAAATCTTATTTTTGTCTCTAGCCCTTATCTAAGTGTCCATTTTAAGGCCATGAGCAGAAACTGCCGATGTCTTTAATCTGATTATTTTGAGTTTGAGGTAATATTTGTTCCTTAGGGAACATGGAGGTTTGAGTAACTGTTGGTCAATCCCAAGAATCTGGGAAATCAACTATGTTGCTCTGTTTGTCTAGGTGGCATTTGGGCCTGGTGGTAGTCAAGGGTGAAATGAAGCTGTTTTAACGTACCGGGCAGAGACCACAGGGTGCCCGGACCAAACCCGTAGGTAGGAGGATTGGATTGACGGCCCTGTACAGTTTCATGTGTCCATCTACACTGCCAACTGTGCCTTCTTTTGCAGCAATGATAGTCATCTCCACTTTTCCATCATAAATGAGTGTATTCAGGATGGTTTCAATGTCCTCCATGGACAACTCTACCTAAGAAAGGACAAAGGAAAGATGCATAAAGGATAAGGAAATCCTTTTGTACAATGTTATAAGCAGCAAAGTTCTTCTATGAAATGGAGAAGTAATGTGCTAGAGAGATTAATAAAAAATACAAAAAGAGCTGGGTGCTGGTGGCCCACGTCTATAATTCCTAGCAACTCAGGAGGCTGAGATCTGAGGACCATGATTCAAGGCTAGCCCGGGAAGGAAAGTCCATGAGACTCTTTATCTCCAATTAACCACCAGAAAACCAGAAGAAGAGCTGTGGTTCAAGTGGTAGAGTGCTAGCCTTGAGCTGAAGAGCTCAGGGACAGTGCCCAGGCCGAGTTCAAGCTCCATGACCAACCAAAAAAAAAAAAACAGTACAAGGTAAACAATGGTCCGCTGAAATGCTAGGAGCAGAAGGCTAACTTTTTGCTCACTGTGACACATTCTGATGTCATAATTTTAGGAAAAATCTAGATCTCACAAAGTAACATTTCTTTGGCAAGAATCTGACATATTCTTACAATGCTTTAACAGAAAGATACTTTAGACATCAAACAGTCCAAGTTCCTATTCCTTTATAAATGAGAAATTTAGAGCTCAGGAAATAAAAAAGATATGTCCAATTGCCAATGTGGCTGCTTTTCTGATGATTAAAATCACCAATGTTCTCATGTGTAAGTCTTCAAAAGAATGCTGCCAATACCAATAAAAACTGATGGTATGGCTGATATTTTGCACACATACTTAACTATGCATATGTGAGTCAAGAACTTATTAGGACAGACTTTGGGTGGTGAAATGTACTGCCAGTTCTATACTCTGTTGCTCTTATGTTCCAAGCTCAACAATATTTACCAATGTCATGGAATAATGGCTGCCTTTACTAAGACTAAGACAGTGTTTTCCCAAAGAGACTAGTGCAGAATATTCACAGCTCTCACCCGAAAGAGGTCTAGGTCAAATATTCTGGGTATTCATTGTAATCTGTGTCTATATGAAGAACAGGTTTTACATGGAAGGTAAGAAAGAAAGTTCTGACCTTACTGATCCCTAATTCACAGATATATTTCCACACTTCATGGGAGGAAGCAAATGAACTATTTCTTTGTATCATTGGATTCTGCTTGCTTTCTCGTGCTGTTTCTGCCTGTAAGGGATGAAACATAAAAGATCTAAGTAAGAATGTTAGTCAATGCTTTTGTTGTTGTAGATCCTGGGGCTTGAACTCAGGGCCTGGGCACTGTCCCTGAGCTTCTTTTGCTCAAGGCTAGTACTCTACCTCTTGAGCCACAGTGCCATTTCCGGCTTTTTCTGTTTATGTGGTACTGAGAAATCAAACCCAGGGCAAGCACTCTACCACTAAGCCACATTCCCAGCCTAGTCAATGCTTTCTTTCTTTTTTTGGGGGGGGATCCAGTCGTGGTACCTGAACTCTGGGCCTGAGTGCTATCCCTCAGCTCTTCAGCTCAAGGCTAGCACTCTACCACTTGAGCCTCAGCGCCACTTCCGGCTTTTTTCTT